GTTACCGGTGTCCAAAAATTCTGAAAAATTTCTTGAATGTCTTTCGATGCGTCAAGAAACCACCTGTAAAATTTCAGAACCAAATACCTTCAGTAGTATCCAGTAGACTCTGTTGAACGGTGAGTCCTCAAACAATCTGTTTTTCTTTATCACTTTTTTCGAAGTTGTTCTTGATCTCCAAAAATTCTGATATTTGTGTGAATGATCTCCAATATGAAGTTTCAATCTGGAAATTTTCACCACGAAATTCCTCCTGTAAAATTTTTAAGAAATTCGACAAGATTCTAAACCGAATCTGCCGATGAAACTTGAATGATGTATTTGAAGGCTCCAATGAACTCCGATTGGGGTGAAATTTGGACTGGGGATTACTCTTAGAATGAATATAATATATGGATAAAATCAGCCCTAAATACCTTCGTTTGCAATTTTTTGAAATTTTGGCTTTTTTAGCTTTTTTTTTTGTTTTTTTGCCTTTTTTTTGTTTTTTTGAAAAAAAATAGCAAACTAACAAGAAGGATTTAAATCTAAATTAAAATTAAATAAAAAGAACCTGAAACGCTGAATCGTTTGTGAACTAGCTCCGTTGGAGTACCTTGACGGTTTTGTATGCAAGAACAAGCAAGATTGCTTGTTTCTCTCCAAGAATCAGCCCAAATCTGATACCAATTGATAGGGAAGTGGTGGCGGATTGATGAACGTTGCTCTTGTTGAGGAATCAAACCTAGAAAGCTCTAGACTCGATGAAGAACAAAGGGGATGAATAGGGGAAGGTGGCGACAGTCGCTAGGATTGTTTAGGGTTTCTTTTATGTTCTGGAATCAAGGCAATAAGATTAGAATAAAATAAACAAAAGATAAATAAATGAAAGATGAAATAAGATAATAAAGAAATCAGAAGATCTCCCTTATGAAGGTGAACGGTAAAGATGATTGATGGTGCGAATGGATTTGTGGATAATAGATGGATAAGTGTCCTATCGAGCCCTCCTAGTCGCAATGAAAAGGCAAACACGATAAATGGCTCTAACCAACCCTCCTAGTCGTGATGAAAAGGCAAATTGGAGTGTGAAGATTAATCTCCCTCACAAGAACTTGAAAGAACTCAAGGAGAAGAAGCTTCGAAGGCACAAGACAATCAGCACTTGCAAAAACAAACTCTTGTTGTATTATTGATCAAAGAAATCTTGAATTACAAAGTTGAATGAAGCCTCCTTTATATAGGGGCTGAGTTCTAAAGGCCTTAGATAACTAATGAATAAAATAATAATAAACTAAACATGTCTTAACTCTAATTCCTAATAAAATAATAATAACTAAAGATAATATTTTAACCCAACCTTAATTTCTAATAAAATAATAAATCTAATCCTAAAAGATAATTAATCATCCTATATTAAATTATATTACAAATAATCAATATAAATATTGAAAATTCGTAATATTTACAAAATAACGTATTAATCCCGTATAGGATTTCCTGCATGCACCGTCTTCAGTAAAATGACCATATCTTGAGTTCCCGATATCGGATTGATGCGATTCAAGAACCGTTGGAAAGATAAGAGACAGACGGTTGTATCTCCAGAAGACATGTCGACCGGATAACAACTGGATCCCCTTCAAAAAGTTGTTGCAAATCTGCTGCTATTAGACCCTTCCGGATGAATGCTTGAACTGCGATTTGAAGCTTGTCTTTAAGAAGTTTGGTCCGGCCTCGTGTGATAGGGCCAAGTGGTATAGTAAATTCATCATCCTTAGCTTTAGGGCATGTGGTGCATGTATCACATCTTCATATTTAGGTAAAAGAAATTAGCAGATGAATGTATTCCCCTTGAACTGGAGCGATGTTGCCATACGAATTGTTTGTGATGCCACTTCGGTACAAATCGTAAGAAATTATTGATGAATGTCTCCCCATTAAACTTGATGGAATGACACCATGATGTGGATTTCCCATTAACGAGTTAAAATTATTACATACCATGAACTGCAAACACTTCAACAAATGTCGCATACATATGTGTATCAACGTTTGAATATTGATTCTGAGAATCAACCATCATAGCAACATCGTCATCGTTAGAGAGTTCAAATGTTGTATAAGTTAACGAAAATATTACGGTTGGAAATCTGTACTGAAGTGAGGATAGTCTTCTAGTACTTCCAACATGAATCTTCCTTGAAATTTTAGTAATCAGCTCCTCAAGAGTGATGTTTCTTTTGAAGGATATTCTGACAGAATGATTTGATGAGAAGATGACACCGATTTCATCTTCCCGAATTTCTCCATCATAGTAAACAATAGCTGAAATACATGTCATTTTGAGACTTTGAAAGATCGAGAATCTTATATATGAAATACGCCTAATTAAATAAATAGTATATGAATTAAAATATAAACTAATCCAAAAAAAATCACAATAATTTAAATAACACAATTTCATATTGTTACCGTATCGATAAAATGTCTCGTAGTATGATCCCGCTTTTAAATTTTACAACCTCAAAAAATAATATAAAATAATTAGTACAATAAAATTTGTTCAAATAATTAAATAAAAATAAATATAATATAATCAAAAATAATTTTACCTTAAAATAACAATAACAAAATCTACTTAGTTTGATAAAAGAAATTTATAAAAGTGAGAATAAATAAGTAATTTTGATGCGGTGATGTTTGTATTCAGAGGGGATGTTATTTATAGGGGAGGGGAACATTTAAAAGTCGAGTTTTCAGGCTCGGAAAATAATGGAGTACCAATAATTCCGTACCTTTCGTACTTGTCAGAACCATGCGAAGGTGAGGATGACGATCCGCGCCTAAATCACAAATGATAATCTATGTTTTATTGTCACTGTATCAGAAATGAGGTTAGATTAATAATATTTTTAGAAAATATATATAAAAAAAATTATCACAAGGTTGATATTTCGGTAAAAACGCCCAAATTAGGGTCCTTATATTGCGCCATAAACAGAATACAAAACCAGCGCAAATGAATCAGAAAAGACAAATCATTCTTTTTTTTATGGAACGAAAATTGAATGGACGGCTGTGATGGAAAGTGACGCCGAAAGTAAGAGATGGTCAAAGTAGCATTGCATTGTTCCACTGTGGAAATGACATGCATATCATCATTGATGGACCCACCCCATATAGTTCCATTGATGGAAATGGCATGCATATCATCATGCTGGACCCCACATGTTCCACTGATGGAAATGGAATGCATGCATTTTTTTTCTGTTGTTGCCTTAACCCACAAACAATTCAATAAATAAAGGTTTAAAATTGTATTTATATAAATGTATTAATCCATCTCATTTTAGTCCCACCCGGTCACAAGGTTTGGGATTCTGGTTTCAATGCCAGCTCAACAGCTTTCTTTAATATTTATTTATTACAAATTTGGTTGGTCCACGAAGCCAAAATTCTTCTAATTTCTTGCACCACAATTCATTCATTCAGGCAAATGGACTTTTAACAATTTGAATAGGCATTGTGTGGATTCTATTTTTTTTTACATAATTTTGTAAAGTGAGGATTTGTTGACATTATTTTAAATCTTGAATTTTGCTAGCTGTATTAAATAAACTTATCAATTTTTTCATTTAATATAATATTCATGTACTTTTGGTCCAACACCGATCCAATCCATTTTAGTGATTTTTGCGGCAAAAATGACTTGTCTGCTGGATTACATAACCCGAATCCTATCCGTGAATCACTAGATATCTGTCAGCTGCTAGATATTTGCTTTCAGGCAGATCTTAAAACGGGTTATGACCTTTTATGGAACCGAATCTCATGCACTTCTAATGGTATTCATGTTAGACGTATAGTTGAATGTTGTTGCTTCTGTCTCTCGTTTGACAAAAATCTCTCCCTTTACTATTTTCCACATCTTTTTACAAGGGCAACCGTGGTACTTAAGTTTGTCGATGTGGTGGCTAATTTGTCGACGTGACATTTTATGTGCACACGGGAACAATAAAAAAGTTTATTTGATATACTTTTAAAAAATGAGGGTTAATTTAATATTCAATAAGAATCGTTTTTAGTAAATTATATTTGAAAACTTTTAAAATTTTGAGGGTTTATATTATTTTAAAATTTTTGATACAAGGTTGAAGTGCTTGTTTGTAGGGTTTTAGTTTCATGCCATGTTGATTAAGACCGGCTTTCATCAATATGCTCATGTTGCGAGTGGTTTGTATTCGGAATGATAGATTGGGAGAGAGTTTACGGTTTCGGATCGGATTTGGTTCTCTCAATCTAATGTTGGGGGTAGCCTACTATCTTACCTCCCCCTTACCCCATTACATATGAGAACAATGGACAAAAAAAAACCACTATAATTCCCAGATTTTCATTGAATTACGAACTTTCAAGGGAGGCTCTCGCCCAGATGATTATAGATTTAATTGGTGGATGCTCTAATCTGTCACCCGTTAAATAAATTTTTAGGATAGACACAAAATTTTATGTTAAGAGTAAATTTTAAAATTTTAAGAAAGACAAATTAATAAAATTATATATGATGAAAACAAATTATCAATAAAAAATATAAAGATTATATGAAATATGTAATAATTTTAAATTTTCAGAAGATGATTGTCTCCTCCCGCTCTCTCTCGGTCCATCCCGGGACAAATTCATGCTATGGTAATCATATTTGAAGTTCAAAATGAAATTTCAGGTCGTTAATACCTTTATTGTGTTACTTGAAATGCCTTGATTGCTTGTTATGCACAACATGGGGTTTGGAACAGAGCTGTTAATTATTTTCTAGCGCATGCTGGGACGAAATATTTCCCCAAGTATAACCTTCAACTCTGTTCTCCAGCATTTTCTCATAATCAGAAGTGTTTTTTTAAAACTAAAATGAAAATAATAATAAAAATAAATTGATCATTCTAAACAATAATAAATGCAACAAAAACCACTAAAATAATCGTAAATTTCCCCTCAATAAAATTAATAAAATAATATAAAGTTTGCAATGTTAAGTGCACAACACGAGAGACAGATGCATCTCTTTTACCAAATTTAGTTTTACCCACACAGGTAGGCTATATTTTCATACGAGAGCTGAAGCTAATTTTTTTTACCAGGACACATAATTGAAAACTTGTACCTTAATGAATTGAGGTGATTTTTTTCCTTTTATATCAATGGTATGTATTTAAGTGAAATACTTGACATGCCGGCTGGTATGACTTCTTTGATGCAGCCTGCTCAAACTTCTTAATGGCAGCTTCATTTTCTTCCAAACTAGTCTGGACAAAATACCGAATCCACCAAGTTGAACTCCGCATTTTAGCCTTCAAGAATGAAATAAGTTATGTCAATGATAAGTCAAACTTGACACATTAATTTCAGTGATAAGTTATAATTCAGAAAAACTATTTGTTCCCTGACCAAAAGTCTGTCTGAATAATCAACAAGATATATGAAAATATCCATATCCCAAAAGATTCTCAGAAAAAAAATCATGCGATGGTTTTGATCAAATAGAAGTTAAACTAAAAGAAATACTATAGCGATTTCAACTCCAAATCCCATTGTTAAAAGGAGTAAAAGTAAACTGACCGGCCTCCCAAATTTGGATAACTCTGCCACTTTAGCCCTCTGGTGGCCAGGGTAACCTGAATAACAAAACGAAAGTAGTTAAATTTCAAATTAAACAAAAGCAAAGCTCGAATCTGTGGAGGGGAGAAATGTTGTGATTAATCTTGCAGCTTGCAAAAGAAAATCAAGAGTATACATTACATCCATCTAATAATCACCCATTGCTTCACCTATGGCATCTAGGAAAATGTTCTTAATGGTAATACTGCTCCAGACTGGTAATTAGGATCTAGTGTAGGGAAGAATTGCCTAGCAACTACCTTATACTAATTCATATGCCTTTTGGGCTTGCAGGAGTGAGATGTGTTACTGGTCTGCCAGCAGGTATGACATAAAAAGGAACCAGAGAAAGACTAAAAATACTAACGACTTAACTTTCATCACAAGCACATGGAGGTTGTGGATGCATTTTAGACAGACATGACATAGTTGCGTAGTTAAGTCAGATAACTTTTTGTTTAGGAAGCAATCATCTTCGCCAACAATTATATAAGCACTTTCTCTGCAAGTCTGATTTTAATTTTATAATTTGTGTGCAACTTAAATAGTAGGAATTACCAGCAAAAATAACTAGACCATCAGAGGCCACCCTTGCCAACTCAGGAAGAGTCTTGTTCAGGTATTTTGGAGACAAATAATCAAGGGCATCTGACACGATAACAAGAGAAAATGACTTTGCTCTATAGGGTAGAGGGAACTTGATATCTGCCACACGTACAACCCCTTTGCTTACAAGATTCTTGCAATTTGATTCAGCATCCTCAATGTCATATGGTTCTACACCCCATGCCTCAGTCTCCTCTTCTTTCAAAAGTTTAGAGACAACTGAACAGGTATCAGGGCCTACATGCAAAACCTTGTGCATGCTGTCACCGTATGCCTTCTTTAGAAAAGGTATTGCCCTCTGAACTTCTAATGTGCATGAATAGTCACCTGCAAAACAACAAGGTAAACAATTTTTGGAATTTTACACCAAATAAAAACATACCATTTTGCAAAGTATTGCAGTTCCATTATTACCACAAACTTTCAGTGCCTCACTTGTCACAGGACATTCAAACCATGTCTACCTAATCAAACCTCTATTGATATACATTTTCATTCCTCCAGCCTCTAGGACCAAATTGCTTCCAAAATATTGTTAAGTCTCAATTGAATCTAAAATTCACCGTCTTCATACGCTCTCAAAAACATAGGCATATTGAAAATTAACTACTTCTTTCATAATGTGTGCATCCATACTCGCAATTTAAATGAAAATCCAAATCCAACCTAGCAAACATAGCATTAGGAATCGCTACGCAATTAAGAAGTTCCAGAGAGACAACAAAGCCACATATTAATAGGGATCAAATGAAAACAGTAACTTCACAAGCTAATTTAATTATGAACATCAAATCAACTAAGGACTAAAGTAAAAATTTAGTAAAACAGAGTTTTACCTTCTATCCTACTAACTGCTGCACCTCGAAATCTACCTGTATTCCAAAAAAAACCAAGAGTGTGACCAGTTAAGATTAGCATATTAAACAACAAGGCAATTAAACTTAAATAAGAAATTACAATGAAATGAAGAAAATACCTGAACCACTATAAGCATAACCAATAAGAAGAATAACTCCCTGAAAGTTATTTAAAAAAATGTTACCACCTCAATTAATTTCTTCTTAAAAGGTAAAAAATTAAATGAAAATTCTTCCATTGAAAAAAAAACAGAAGATATACCACAACAACAAGACCGATGGATAAAATGGGAGGAGATCGAGATTTGGAATGTAAGGCAGCGGCAAATGGGATGTTTCCGCTGTCGACTAAACGGCGCGTGGAAGTACCTTGCCTCCTTGACATGGTTGGCTGCAAACCGCTTCTCAAACTTTGTTTTTATTATTAACACTGCGAAACAAAGAAACAACAAGTTTACACCCAAAAAAAATAGCCACTTAATGGAAAGAACAGAAGACATTAAACTTCATTGACGAATGAAAAGTAGATCCAAATCATAAGAAAGCTTTGGATTTGAGATGACAATGGAGATAATGAATGTAAGAAGAGAGAGCACCTTAGATGAAGAAATAGTATATGAGCGTTTGGATTTTGGATCTTAGATCTCTGTGTGCGTGTTTGGCCTTTTGTTTTCGCTTTATTATTTCTCATGATCCACCGTTAAATAATAAAACTAAAATTACTAGTAATAATAGTCAACTGTGGTCTCAAGTCTGAACGCAGCAGTATTTTCACTGTTTATTTGATTTGCCATTAGAGCGTCGGTGATTCGTACGACGTCGTTAATCCTCAACATTTTCTTTAATAGATATCTTGAAGATTTTTTAGTTTTTACCAGCATAATAATCCAACTTGCCCTCAATGCCGGTCACTATTTAAATCGTGTCCCTAAATATTTTTTTTACCATTTAATGTTTTGCTTTTATGAACAAATTCTTTTGAATGTACCCTAATGGATGAGATTGTCATGTTCGATGAATATCGATTAATATCATTAATTTAATTTATAAAAATTTAAAATTTTAAAAGATTTAATATATAGTAATAAATTAGTTAAAAATTTAAAGGTAAAATATTTAAATAAAGGGTAAACCATATTAGTGGCCACCTAATTATTCCCCTTTCATTTTGACCATCATTTTTGAAGTTTTATCAATCATATCATTCAACTATGTAAATGCATTCAATTAAGATATTTTCCATTAATATTTAACGGAGAAGCTAATGTGATAGTGAAAATATTTGGCATAATTACACCTTTGGTCATTTTTACTTATATATTCCATCAATTTGGTTATAATTTTCATAAAAATTTAACCCTTAAATCAAATATTGGCATGTGTCACCCGATTGGACGATTAAATTTATTTTAATTTATTTTTAATTTAATATATTTTTCTCACCAATCAGCCCCTCTAAAGGAAAGAAAATTTTAAATAATGCTTAAATGATACCCAAGGGAATCAAACATGGGGTTCATGGATTAAAGAAACAAGGCTCAACCATTGAGCCAAAGTAGCTAATTGGTTCAAATTTGACTACATATGTTATTTATGTTATATATTAGTGTAAACTTAAATTCTTAATGTTTTGTAGAACTTAACTTAAATTCACATATTAAATTAATTTTACATCTTAACATTAAAAATATATTTTATTCTTATTTTAACTTAAAAATATATTTTAGTCTTTATCTTAACTTAAAAATATATTTTATTCTTTTTTTTAAAAGTAAACATCATGCATTACCTTAAAAAAGAGAATAAAATATATGTAACGCCCCGAATTTTGGCTTAGAAGTTTGAGTTATTTCCGTTTTGGGCTTCGAATATAAAACCATTATTGTAGGAAGCCTTGACCTAAGAATAAGTGAAATTGGGCTTTGATTAAACCCAATAGTGAATAAAAAGGGTATTTTAGTTTGCACTTAAACCTAGAAGGACCAAGGGAGCAATTATACCATTGTTCAAAATTAAAGTTGAAAACCAATTAAGTTTGGGTGATCTCACGTATGTTTTCCCCTCCTTTTCACCACTCCAAAATTTGTCTTCTTCATTTCTTCTCCATTCACCTTCTTCTTCTCCAAATCATATCAAAGGTTAAAGCTTTGAAGATTTCAAGGCTAGTTCAGAATTTCCAAGGTGAGTTTCAGAATCTACTCACCCTAAGCTTCAATCCAAGCTTTCAAACTCAAGATTTGGCCTTAGTTCTCAAAATGTGGGTTTTGTGGGGGGTTTATAAGACTTAAGAGTATTGGTATGTTTTCAGTGATTTCTAACTTTAGGAAGTGTTTTTAAACCTTCCATGATCTCTAGATTCAATTAGTAATATATATGTTTGATTCTTGTTTAGAGAGAGAAATTAGAGAAAGCTCCAAGAACAAGGGAAATGAGAAACTTGCCTTGGGTTGAAACTTGGGCACTTCTAGTAGCTTAGGGATCAAGGTAACTCACTTCAGATTCATCTATACCATATGTAGGTCAATTAATATGTTTAGTAGGTTGCGTGAGCTAAGTGGCATTTTCATGGTAGATTTCAGAATTCAGTGTTTCCAACATGTTTATAACCTCTTTATGATCCATATAATCATACATAAGACATTAATAATAGTTGAGACCCTCAGTAGGATGTTTAAGGTCGAAAGATAGCATTTTCGTGATTGGAACAGGGCAATTCTGAGCACGAGTATCGGTGCCTGAGCTCCAAGATACATAATCCCTTAGCCACACCATGATGTCTGCCACAATATAATAGATCAGTATCCTTATGTTTTTACCTATGACGTCTACTAACGTATTTATTGAATGCATATAGTATAGTACAATTTTTAGTGTGGCAATGAGCTCGTAAGCTCATCATTTGAAATATGTTTCCGTGCACAGGTTAGGAGACCATTCGTGGGGAGTTATCATCATCGGGCTTCCAGTGCAGCATACCAGTGCAACGAAGTATATCAGAGTATGTCTTGAGTCACTTTTAGAGGGCATGTACTATTATGAACCCCTATATTTCTCAGTCATAACATTTAAACTCAGAGATTTGTTATTATATTGATGATTTTGGGATCTCCCCCGTATTTATAAAACTTAAATACTACCCCTTCACTTATTCAATTGAATGAACTTTTGTCAATGGTTATAATCAGACATTCTTTTTAGAGGAAACTTTTTGGGTTAGACCGGATTTTGGTGGTCCCATGTAGCACCATGATCTGGTGATCTTCTGGTCGGACCGGATTAGGGTGTTACAATATATTACATAAATTATATTCTTAACTTAAATTATTAAATATATTCTATTATTACCTTAAATTATTAAATATAATTAATTCTTATTTTAAGTTAAAACATATCTTTTATTCTTATCTTAACTTAGAAATATTTTTTTATTTTAACAACAAAATTATATTTTATTTTTATCTTAACTACACAAAATGTATTATATTTTTATCTTAAATTTAAAATATTATCATAATAAAATATAAATATTTAAGTTAGGATAAGAATAAATTTTATTTTTTAAATTTAATATAAGATTAAAATATATTTAATAAGTTAAGACAAAAAATATTTTTAAATGTTAATTTAATATGTGAATTTAAGTTAAGATATATAAAATAGTAAGAATTTAAGCTTACACTAATATACAACATCTATAATATACGTAGTCAAGTTTAAATCAAATAACTACTTTGGCTCAATGGTTGAGCCTTGTTGTTTTAACCTAAGAACCCCAAGTTCAATTCCTCTTGACATCATTTAAGCGCCCAAAATGTTTTTTCCTCTAAAGGGTGTGTCACCATCTAATTGGTGAGAAAAATAAATTAAAATAAATTTAATTATCAAATCGGATGGTGACACATGACACCATTTAATTTGAGGGTTAAGTTTATTTTAATTTTATTAAAATTGAGACCAAATTGATAGAATATATAAGTAACAATGACTAAATGTGTAATTATACTAAATATTTTAACTGTGACATCAACTTTTCCGTTAAATATTAAGAGCAAGTGGTTTAATTAAATTCATTTAAATAGGTGAGTGACCTGATTGACAAAATTTTAAAAATGGCGGTCAAAAAGAAAAGGGACAATAGTTAGATAGTCACTGATATAGTTTATCCTTTATTTTAAATAATTTACCTTTAAATTTTTAACTAATTTATAATTATACATTGAGCCCTTTTGTAACACCCCCACCCCGTACCCGACCCGGTTACGAGTCTGAGGTGTCACATTGACTTTTCAAACTTTGACTCTTGACCAAAATTCAAAGAAAATTTAAAACTTTCATTAAAATAAAATCGATTTATCTACAAAAATTGACCAAAATAGCCAAAATCGATCAGAGCATATTCAACTCAATCACTTAGTACATGCCAACTATATTCAAATTAACCAAACACATTTAAATCATCTATTTTATGATCTGAAATTTTGTAAGGGAGATATTGACCTGTTTTGCTCTTCTTTGTTTCTCTTCTCGCTTCTGTAACCTACGTGTGAAACAATCACATGCTAAGTCTATGACTTAGTGAGGCAAATAAACATGTAATGTAAACTATAACTTGTAATCATGCATGAACTATTACTGCTATTACTCATACCCTTATTCATGTAACAAATCCCTATAACTCATATGCAATATATAATTACATGTAAGAACATATATACACATATACTCATCATTTCCATCATTAGCCTCATTTCATTATCAATATCATTATTATTTATCTTACTTCGTACATATCCTCTTATACCTAACATTTTAACCAACATTTTACTCATTTAATCATACAATCCACATATCATCATATAAATCATATAATACAATTCATAGCATAAAAGCATACAAGTCACATGTAATATGTTTGTTGTTATTTCTTTATTAGCCCATGTACACATGTGAGAACTATAGATATGTGAGTCTATAGAAGTTGTGCACAAATGCTATCACTACAGCTCGTATAAATGCACCGAAGTGCCACGTAGAATTGCACCGAAGTACCGCGTAGAATTGCACTGAAGTGCCGCGTAGAATTGCACCGAAGTGCCATATAAAATGTCCCTAAGAACCACATAGAAAATTCCTTAAGAATCATATACATATACAAAGGATCAAGTATGTGTCTCAAAAGACATCACACATGTTCCAAGGAATACATATATGTCCTGAAGAACCGCGTAGACCCTCGACTCTTGGCATGCCAACTATACCCCTAGCTCTCATGACACATAACATGGGCATTATTATTTATGTCATTTCATATTCATACATTCATAACACTTATCTCATATCGCATGTCTGATCTCTTTTAATCATGTAATCACATAGCTCGCATCATTTCTTGTGAAATCATACATATCATGTAAGATATATCAGATATATTCACACAAATCACTTCCATATAATTCAGATGATTTATTATCTCGTAGATCATATCACATTTTCATACAATTTCACAAATCCTTTTCATATATGGATATCACATTTGTACTTAATCACATAGATAATGTTATATAGCACTAAAATCCCACAGTTCCTATTTCGTAGCTTATATATTGTTCTTATATCTTTTTATAGACATATAAACACCTAGATCATAATTCCCTAATTTATTGTACATAATCATATCATCATTTATAT